ATCTTTCTTAGTCATAGACGTTATTGGGGCTATAATAGAAGAAAGGCCTTTAATAAACCCGCTTTATAGTTAGAGAAACCAATAAACCTTTGTATGGCTTTAAGCCCACTAGGTAGTAGCCAATGCAATATGGATTCCAATTTGTTAGGATCCATCGAAAAGCCTTTCTTAGATATCACATAACCCAAGAAACTGATTTGCTTTTGATCGAATAAAGGCATTTCTCCAATCTACAGTTTAAACCATTTTGTAACAAATTTGTAAAAAAAAACGGCATGAAAGATACCATATAGTGTTACTGGCTTTACCCAGCCTAGAGGGTTTTGTAATGTGCAAAATGCATGTAGAAGGATACATTGTTATTGTACAAGCCTTATCTTGGAGCAGGCTTCCCCAAACTCTGGTCCTCCAGATGTTGCTGAACTACAACTCCCATGATTCTCAGCATATCTATTTCATTCATAGAATCATGGGAGTTGTAGTTCAGCAACATCTGGTTGGCAGGAGTTTGGGGAATCTTGTCCTTAAGTATCCAATCCCATCAAATGGGGCACAAGTTATCAAATACAGAATGTTGAAACTTGTTATATATAAATTCCCATGTGATTGCCATGTACGCTTTTCAGTAAAATGGCAGCCATGCCAATTATGAGAGTGTACCAATTCTTACGCACATAATACCAAATACCCACAGTGTTATTCAATAAAGTGAGCATTAAAAGTGAATTCCAAGTGAATTTTAAATTTAAGGTCAAACAAGGCAAATTCTAATAATTCTCCAAGTCAGATATGTTTCTAGTATGGCTATTGTGGCAGATCGCCTGGCACCCCGTCTGGGTGCCTCCGCCAACTGATGCTTCCTAGTTCTAACCGAGTACTCCAAGCATTCCACCAGACACCATAACCACAGTAAACCCCGCAGTAAACCCCTTGGTTGGGGTTTCACTGTCCTCCACCCACCCTGGACCCAAGACCAAGATCCAGCTTCCAGTGGGTAGACCTCTCCCAATCCAGAGAGTAAACTGCATAGGAATGTGAAAAGGGTTTTACCATATGGATGGATCATGTGAATTAATCAAAGGCTCTGCAAGGTGTGTGATTCTACACTTGAAATGCCTGAATGTCTGGCTTCAGGCATATGGCCTGTACTTCTTAATTGATAAATCAATCTCTTTGATATGTTAATGGCCATTAGCATTGTTCCAGTATCATATCCAAAGGGAAAAAAAACATTAATATTTACCCACAGAATAATAATTATGCCTCATTTTCATAATATCTGGAATATGACAAGCGCCATCTTTTAAACAAGCCCAAATATGAGTGGCATAACTTAACCATTGGGGAAGAGATTGTGATGTCCGCCATATTGGGTCACAAGTAAGAAGTGTGACGGGGGGCGGGGCTAGCACGCAGACCGAGACAGACGCCATTTGCTGGAGCTCCTCTAAACAAACCTGAAATCTGCCCAATATCATCAAAACAAGAGCCCATCCAGCCTCAAAACTCACAAAATCAGACTCTGCTGCCCGAGCTGAAAACGTAGATGACCTTCTTTCAGCCACAAAAACAGCCTAAGCGGTGACGTAAAATCGAGGCCTACCACCCTCTCCAGATCCCCAGCCTCGCATCACTCTTTTGCGGTGACCTCGTGGAGCGGCCGAGGGCGACCCCATCACACACATCGCCCAACACACTCACCATGGGCCGCCACAGGGTCGGATACCAGGGACAGAGGGGCGATGCTCCAGAAGCCCAAATAAACCCCGGCCGGAGACCAACCGGAAATAGAACCAGAACCGGACTGCCATGAGATGGAGGTACCACAACACCCCCCGGCGGTAAGAACCGCGCTAGCGGACCCTTTGGATGATTCAGCCCCAACAACTAGGGGAGACCTGAAGGTCCTATTAGCTGATATCCACAAGTTCCTGGCTGCAGATTTAGCTGTATTTAAAACAAAGCTACAGGCCATAACAGTGAGAGTCAAGGCCACAGAGGGGGTTATGGTGGACACTCCATCTACCATGCAAACCATGCAGGACTCTATCCACCAATTACAAGCGCACCAGACTACCCTGAACGCAAAACTCATAATCATGGAGGATAGACAACGCCGCGCAAATTTCAAAATAAGGGGTATCCCTACAGCAATATCCGCGGAGGAACTGCCCCACTACACCCGACGCCTCTTGACATCTATATTACCTCCCACACTGGCCCGCAAAATCACAGTGGACAGTCTATATCGCATCCCTAATATAACCAACACTAATACCAACCTGAACTGGGATGTCATCCTGCGCTTCCACTCCGTACAAGACAAAATACATGTCATGACAGCTGTGGAGGGCAAAACCCCTCTCCCGTTTGAAAATGCCACCTTGAACTTTTTCCAGGATCTTACAAAGGTAACGCTGCTGTGAAGGAAAACCTACGCACCGGTAACTTCCCAACTACGAACGACAGGACTGCCATACAGATGGGGAACCGACAACTCTTTAACGGTCACGACAGAAGGTACTACGCATGTCCTCCACAACATGGCCGATGCAATTTCTTTCCTGGGAAAATTAGGACTACCCATACCAGCTGACAACCGCACGCTACCTGAGAGTGCCAGAGACCCGGCCACCATCGCCCCCTTTGTCCCACGCACCAGAGGGACACCACCACCTGTGCAGTGACGGAGCAAACAGACACCTATGGCTCCACAACCTAGCCCACTTTAGAAGGCTCTGGCATCGAGCCACCCAGAAAGGACACTGATACACGAGGGAAACCTCGTACTAGGACGCAATGCAGTTACTAGAACTAACTATTGCCTTTACATTTACTGTAACTTTTATCTATGTTTTCACAACTTATTGTTTAAAGCAGTTTCACACCCTTATCCTGACTACGAGCAAACCATACCCCAGCCAACACACTGGACACAACACCAGAGAGTCAATGGGGCCACATCCCCCCTCCCCCCGCCACCCCCTTGGTTAGGGGTACCACACATACCAGCTTCTGCTACCAACAACAAACTCCATTCCCGGACCCTGCTGACCCTTTAGTTAGCACCCGGAAAGGACAAAACAGCCCACGCGCACAGACCACACTGAAAAACCACAACCCAAACTGGGAACCAACACCACTACATAAGCTGACACATGTCCAGGGGCGTACCTAGAGCATTTGGCACCCGGGGCGGATCCTGTGCTTGGCACCCCCCCCCCCAAAAAAAAATAATAATAAAAAAACCTGTAAAAAATGTTAAAGGTTTTATTTCTTTTATTTTTACAATTTGTAAACTTTGCAAAACCGCTGTCAGTCCCTCCTACAAAACCCTTGTCCTGCCCTGCCCCTCCTACAAAACCTCTGTCCTGCCCCTTCTACAAATCCTGTACTGCCCCATCTACAAAACCCCGCAACCCCCTTCCACAAATCCCCTGCTTATCCCCCCTTATAAAGACTCCTGTCCCAATACAAAACCCCCACCCCCTTCTACAAAATCCCTGCAGCCCCACACACACATTTACAGGCAGACAGTCACACACTCAGTTACAGACACAGTCACACACTCAGTTACAGACACAGTCACACACTCAGTTACAGACACAGTCACACACTCAGTTACAGGCAGACAGTCACACACAGTCACAGGCAGACAGTCACACATACACATTTCCTCCGTGCGGCCAGTTTATCAGCTGTTTGCTTGAGTGAGCTGTACTGGCCGCACGGCACCCTAACTACCATGGGACACTGTGCGGCCACAGCTCACACAGCCCCTCCAGCCAGGGCCGGTACAAGGATTTTTGCCGCCCAAGGCAAAAGTAAAGTTTGCCGCCCCCCATGTGACATCACAATGCCCCAGCCATATGATTTGCCATGTTAACTAACGCCAGTGCTGCAGTGCCGCCGTGTTTACATTAAAAGGCCTGCAGGGACAGGCTATAGACACCAGAACCACTACATTAAGCTGAAGTGGTTCTGGGGACTATAGTGTTTCTTTAATGTGAGGTAAATTAGAGCTTAGTGCCACGAATAATATACTAGATTGCCTACTTACAACCAGATGAGGATGATGATGGGCTCTAGCTGCAGTCTGGCTCCACTGGTCTGGTGCAGAACAGGCTCTCTGGAGGCGGTTTGTAACTGTGGTCACAAAAATCAATGTTCTGGGAGAACGGGAAGCAGCTCCATTTTTTGGGGGTCCTTTACACAGCTCAAGGTCTGGGTCCCAGGGTCCACCTTCATGTTCCACCAATGAGTTTGTTCACAGGGGGTGGAGTGTGTAGGGGATGTCCTGATATGTGTGTAAGGAATGCATTGTGTGAAATTGTGTTTGTATGTGTAAGGACTGCAAGGTGTGTTTCTGTGTATGTATGGGATGCATTGAATGTGTGTAAGGGGTGCATTGAGTGTGTGTAATGAATGCATTGTGTGTTTCTGTGTGTGTAAGGGATGCATTGTGTGTAACGGTTGCATTGCTTGTGTATGTGTGTCTGTGTGTTTTTTTTTTTTTTTTTGAATTCTTTATTTTTGTTGTGCAGGATGGTACAAGAGATCAACAGACGCCACAACAGCGTATTGCAGAGTTAACATACATTATATAGTGGCATAAGAATTTGCACATTTTTATAATTTTAACCAGCTTAAGTAGACGATTAAACTTGCAGCGTAAAAATAATTAAAACAAGTGAGAACGATTAACGCTTAACAATTGTGTATTAATTACGTTAGTGTCAGTATGGTGTGCGATCATGTATTCGTGTTTCAGGACTATGGTATGTGTTGACCAGGTATGACACAGGCTGCTATGTAGTATCCTGTTCGACTGTCCCATGGCGTGGGTGTCTGCATGTTGTGTAAAGTTAAGGTAAATAACGCCATTGGGACTGCACAATGCTCATCTCTATTCATATTCTGGCACGTAAAGATATACAAGGCATGAGAATATATGCTACAAAAGACCGCTAGTCACTGATTAAGCTTGCTGAGTGTATGTACTAGCAGGTAGAGTGCGCAATGCAGGGTATGGTATGTTGATCACAGTTCAGCAGGGACACGTTGCGAGCTAGGTGTCTGGGCTGTAGGTTGTTGTCATCTGTAATAACGTCCCTGAGGGTGCCTAACGTATAGGCTGGGGCCCAGCACCGTAAGCCGTTTAATTCATCCCCCTCAGCCTATGCCCACAGGGTGTACAGACCTGTCCATCTTGGGGGTGACCTGCCCGGGGGCGTCGTTGGCCCGATGTCGGGGCTGAGTGTGGAGCTTCGTGTGTGCCTGGTCAAAAGGCCTCCATGGTGCCCCTAGAGGTAAGTCCTTTTGCAGGTGTGAGGCATGGGAGTGTGGGTGACCTCTCTTGAGCTGTGGTGCAGATCGCTCCCAGTTTCCAGCTGGGTCCAGTCTTTGAGAGCGGTGTTGCTGGGGAGATTCCTGCTTTTGCTGTGAGGCTGGTACTCGGAGAGGTGTTCTTGAGTGTCGCCGGGGTCGGGCCCCAGTTAGTCGGGGGCTTCTCTGGGCTTGTGGGCGTCGGGCTGACTTCCGCGTGGAGCAGGCCTTGCGCCTGTATAGCAGTACCGCAGCCTTCTTTGCCGGTTGTTCGTGTTTCGCATGAGTGGGTAGCCGGTGTGCCCGGAGTTTCAGGCGGAGCCAGAATGCTTGCCAGAACTTTTCAAAGGAGGCCTCGATGGGCTCAATCTCCCGATCACTCCTTGGATTTGTATGTGCTCGTGAGGGGTGCTTGTCATCCGCCATCTTTGGAGGCCATGTGGCTCCAGGGTTTTTGCTCCGACTTGTTGGCCCTGCTGAGGTGAGGTTGCACCCTGTAGGGACCGGGATATCCCCCGCCGGTCCAAGGGGGGGAAACAGGGCTGTGCAGATTCCTGTGGCATCTTGGAGCCCGGGGTTGGGAGATCGGCCGCCTCCCCCAACACCCAGGTCGTCGACCGTAATAGGCCGCAAGCTGTAGCACTGTGTGCTGCCGTCGGGTCACCCAGATTCAAGCTTAGGGAGTAGTCAGGGTGTTTAGGGTGACCTTCTGGTTGCCTAGGGTCGGTTTTCTCCAGGTTTGCCTTAGTTTTTCAGGCAGTTTAGTTTAGTGTAGCAGGAGCTTGTGACAAACACGTCTAGCCATCTTGGCTGTGTGTTTTTCTGTGTGCAAGGGGTGCATTGTGTGTATGTGATGAATGTCAATCTCTCCTCCCGCTCCAATTTCCTTCTCCTCCTCCCAATTTCTCTTTCTCACCCCCCTCCTAATTTCTCTCTTACCCCCGCTCCTATTTTCTCTCACCCCCCTCCTTTCTCTCTCACCCACCTTCTTTTTCTTTCTCTCTCCCCCCCTTATTTCTCTCTCTCTCACCCCCCCTTATCTCTCTTTCTCACCCCCCCTTATTTCTCTTTCTCACCCC